AAGATATTAAAGGAGCCTTGGTGGACAATAATTAAACACTGGCTGCTAATGGAAAGATTGGCAGTTTGAGCCCACTGGCCAGTACAGACGGGTATATAGGGACCAGGGGAGAACTTGATGATCTGCTCCCATAAAGACTACAGCCTAGAAAGGCTGCCTTTGCAACAGTGCTTCACTGTCCTTTAGGCTCACCAGGAATCAGAATGAAGGAGGAACTTGCAATTCAGTGTTACAAATCTCCCTCCCTCACCACACAGCTTCCGTGTCTTAGAGCTCCTTGGTAGGCAGCAGGAAATACGTAGGATGATCATTAATCACTATTTACCTCTCATCTGTCACTGGACAGCACTTAGTAAATGCAGATTAATTAGATGAAGTGTGGACTTGCTAGCAGGCTGTCAGATTCAGGAAGTGTATCGTATTAGCCTTACATTCAAATAAAACAAACAAGCAAATAAAAGAAAAATAAATTCTCCTAAAGAAGCCCAGGGCTGTGTGCACAGTGAGTTCTACATTCCTGAATTCAGTCACTGAGACGAGAACATCTCTACCTGGTGCCTCTATCATTATAAGTTAATGAATTGAACACCTAGACCACCAGGACACAAACCCACTGTGAAATCTTAGCCAAACAGTCCTACTCGCTTCTCTCCTTTTCCGGCATCTTAACTGCAGCACTAGAAGTTGTTGTGTACCATCAAGTCAGAACCGACCCATAGCTGACCCACCAGTATGTTTTCTGACAGTACACGTGGGTGGAGCTCGCCTGTCTTTCTCCTGCGGTGAATTTGAACTGTGTTATCTGCATTGGCAGCTTAATTCCTTACTATCTTCTTTCATATGGAGGCAAAAGATGGTATTGTTATGGGTTATAAATAGTTAGAAGTTAAAAGTAGATGCAAAGATCACTGAAATGAGCATCCATCAAATAAAATGTTACTGTAAAACTTGAATACTTTTCTAAATTGATCAACATGGTTTGTACCTCCTAATGCAAAGGGCTTTATTTCTTCCATCAGGGGCTACAAAGCCTTCATGGACTGGGAGAAGGGAGAGGGAGACCCATTTCCTTACTATGTCTACGGCGTTGCCTGTTCAGAGGTTGAAATTGACTGCCTCACTGGAGCCCACAAGGTAAGTCAGTTACTACTTTTTATGGGTAAGTTAAAAGAATGACAAGCACACGCGCACACACACACACACACACACACACACACACACACACACACAATGTGTTTCATGTTATGTCGCCCAATTTATCTATGTAGTAATACTTGTACAATAAGTTCAACTTCATTCAACCCCACAGAAATTGTCCCAGGACTCAGTCTTAACCTACATCTCCACTGAAAAAGGAATTAATAGTCAAGAAAAAATCAGTCGTAACAGTCTTCAACGTATTCCCAAGTCAGAGAAACTTTTTATTCCATTTTAGACAACAAAATGACTTTCCAAATATGTTCCCCAAAAGAGCCTCCAACCCTAAAGAAAGACATTGAGTTATCTAATCTGACCCTTTAGTTTCTAAGGTAACTTTAAAAAAAAGTCTTAGGTAAACATTTTTAAACACAAAGCAATGTGCTGATGTTTCTCCAACTGTCCCAAAAGAACTACTGACCTCGAAAGAAATGGCGTTTTTTAGTGGAAATAAAATTTGTATTTTCTTATTAACTGGACACCCAAGAAGCCACCTAATGAAAATAAAGTAATATTTAACTGAAAGTTAACAACTTTTACCGTTAAGGGTAAACCTAAAGCCTGTTATGTGCCGTCAAGTCAGAAGCGACTCATAGCTAACACTCCAGCAGACTTTTCAGAGACTATAAATCACGCAGTAGGAGATTTTCTATCTTTTCCCCTCAGAGCAACTGGTAGATTCAAACCACATGCCTTTGGGTTGGCAGTGCACCTTCTTACCACTAGGCCATTAGAGCCCAAAATAAACTGTGAGGAAGTTTATAAAATTTGATCTTTAAGACATCTAAACTCCATACACAAAATTAGTCCCTCATTATCTTGACCCACCATGCCCAACATCAGAATGGCAATTCACATAGAATTTTAAAATTCAGCTCAATGCCATTCAGTCAGAACTGACTCAAAGCTGACATTCCAGCAAATTGCCAGAAGCTATAAATCCCATGAGAAGATATTGCCCATCTTTCTCCCAGGGAGCAGCTGGCAGATTCAAACTGCCTGCCTTTGCACTGGCAGTGAAGCTCTTTATCCACTAGACAACCAGCACTCCCTCTAGAATGTAAAAGGACTTGGGAAATACTGACCTATAAATCTTCTCCAGATGTCTCTTTGCCTGTTGTTGGTTAACTTGTCAACCATTAAATAATTACATCAACTTTTTCAATGAGGGGATATGCTGGAAACAGTTGTCATCTCCATTTAGGTTTGTCTTCGGTACACATGTATATCATGTCTCCATCATTTTTCTAAACTTAGTTCATCAAATAAAGATGACAAGTGATGTATAATTAGTTTGAAACTGTGGTTTCTAATGGTTTTTCATAATGGGGTACATCTAGGAAATGTATATACAGTGAGGTGAATAAGGAGGCTGTGTGGGAGAGACAATCAACCTGAGGTCCTGCCCTGCTCCCCCTTGAAGTCCAGGGGTCAGTGGCTTGGCATACCTGTAGCCTATTTGAGATACCACATGGGTGGAAGGCTCTGTTTTAGAGATCAACTTGTTTTCTAATCCATCATTTTGAAGGTAGCATTGCCAGGTTTAGCAAATAAATATATAGAGCACTGGGAGGGAGGAAAAGGTGCAATTATGTTTGGAATGGTGGAGCAACAGACAGCACAGGAGAGGAAGATCCAAGATGATTTGGATTGATACAGTAACTGGAGCAACGGGGGTAGGTGGGTTGGAGTCAGTGAGACTGACTCAGGACAGGGCAGGCTTCAGAGCTTTATACACAGGGTTGCTATGAGTCACAGGTGACTCGACGGGACATAACAACAACACAGTGAGTGAATTAAAAAAAAATTAATAAAAAATACTTTTAAAAATGCACGCGGAGCTCTGGTGGCCTGGTGGCAAGAAGCTGCAATGCAATCCCAAAGGTACATGGTTCAAATCCACCAGATGCTCTGCTGGAGAAGGAGGGACAATCTCCTCCTGTGCCAGTCAGATCCGATTTGACGGTACACACAAAAATAATAAAATAAAATTTTTTTTAAAAAATGCATGCAAGTTCCAAAAAAAATCAAATTACTCATCAGAATCATTACCAATACAACTAACACTTGGAATGAAATTATTAAAAATTAAGCTGAAAAGACTTAAATTGTGTTATGATAATAAATCCAAAATGAGGTGAGCTGTGGTGGCCTAGTGGCAAGAAGCTGCACTGCAACTCCAGAGGTGCACAGCTCAAATCCACCAGGTGCTCTGCTGGAGAAGGAGGGACAATCTCCTCCTATACCAGTCACATCTGATTTGATGGTACACACACACACACACACACACAAATAATAATAATAAAATAAAAAATAATAAATCCAAAATTAGAATCAGATGCTGGATAAGCAACCAGAATCAATTATTTATTAAATGACTCCTGAATACCAACATGTCATAGAATTTGAAGTTATTTGTAAGAGTTAAAACCATGAGTATTATGAGATACCATCTCACCCCAGTAACAATAGCAAAATTCAACAGAACAGGAAACAACAAATGATGATGAGGTTGTGGAGAAAACGGAACCCTTATTCACTGTTGGTGGGAATGCAAAATGGTGCAACCACTCTGGAAGGCAGTATGGCGCTTCCTCAAAAAGTTGGAAATAGAAATACCATTTGACCCAGAAATTCCTCTACTGGAAATATACCCTAAAGAAATCAGAACTGCCACCCAAACAGATATATGCACACCTATGTTTATTGCTGCATTGTTCACAATCTTAAAGAGACAGAAGGAACCCAAGTGCCCAGCCCATCAACAAATGAATGGATAAAGAAGCTGTGGTATAGTCACACAATGACTATACAATACTACACAGCATTGAAAAAGAAGGAATTAATAAAATATACAAAATGTGTGACACTGGAGGACATTATGCTGAGTGAAATATCTCAATTACAAAAGGACAAATACTGCATAATGCCACTGTTATAAAACAGGATTGAAATGGGGGTTGGGGAGAAACAAAAAAAAGAGGGGATAAATAAAGTACACTGCACTGAAAAAGATGAGGGAAAGTACTATTTAAAAGGAATATATAATTAGGTATTATTTGCATGACAACAGTCCAGAATAAGAGCTGCATAGCGAAGTGGACTAGGGGAGGAGGGAGGACAGGAGAGGAAATTGTGCAACAATGAAAGATTTTTTTTTTCAAAGAGAAAAGCGAATTGAGGTGGGTAGGGAGGAAAATGTACAACAACAAATGAATGGAAATCCAAATTTTCTATAAACTTTTGTTAATATCTCAAAATAAAAATTTTTAAAAGTCCTAAGTGGTAGTGGTCTTCTGGAGTCATTAGTCCTAGTACTGAACATCTGCTGGATGCTTCCCGAGCATCAACTAGACTCATGATAATGGGTTTCAATGTAATGGTCAGTGACTAGCTGGAGTTCTTGAATGACTAGAAACAACTTGGAAAAACACCTTTAAAATACATTTTAAAATTCAGATTCTAACGGTGAGGTAATTTTTGGTTTTGCCAGAAAATCAGAACAGACATTGTGATGGATGCGTGTTGTAGCCTAAACCCAGCTATTGACATCGGACAGGTAGGTGTCAAGGGCTGAGGTGGGTGCTTCCTCCTGAAAGTTACTATGGGCGAAGAAAGAAATCTAAGAAGCTGATGATGTCACAAAGCTTGACGTTTCCCCCTTTCAGATTGAAGGTGCATTTGTGCAGGGCATGGGCCTTTACACCACCGAAGAGCTGAAGTACTCCCCAGAAGGTGTCCTCTACTCCCGGGGCCCAGATGAGTACAAGATTCCAACCATCACTGACATCCCGGAGGAGTTCAACGTGTACTTGCTGCCATCATCACACACCCCACTAACCATCTATTCATCCAAGGTAAGCACCTACACCTACAGAGCAATGGAAAGGCTCGGGTTGCACATCGATGGACAAAGTTATGAAGGTCAACTGTCACCACGATCAGATCATTACGCATTGTTAGACTAGTGAGTCACCCAAGGAAAACTGAAGCTAAGGGAAAGTAAATGATCCACCCAGGTCAAAAGACATGAACAACAAACTTTGACTTCCTGATAGAATAACATTTTTACCTAAGAGCTTTAAAACAAAAACATTAAATGGGATTAAAGGAGCGATGCCACTGGAAATCTTCAAAATCAGTGCCATTTTTCTCTCTCCTCATGAAGTTAGTCAGTTCAATTAATTGAATGTATGTCCTTAAAGGGCAATCTTCTCTCATGCTATTTACTACCTCTGAAAACCTGTTGGAAGGTCAGCTGTGGGTCGGTTATCATTCAATGGCACATAACAACTACTTTTCCTAATAGAGCACCCTCCCTTCTTTGTAACATAAGTACATACTCTTAGAACAAAGATTTCATTCAGACAGGATTCATGATCTGTGAACTTCAGAAGCTATTGGAATTTTCAATGTCATTGTGTGCTGCCAAGTGGGAACTGACCTACAGCTGATCCTCCAATGGGTTTTCAGAGACAGTTAATCACATGAGAGAAGGTTGCCCATCAGCCCCCCATGGAGCAGCTGGTGGATACGAACCACATACCTTCGTGGTTGCAGCGCAGCTTCTTACCACCAGGCCACCAGAGCTCCCTATCTCCATGTATAGGACTGAATTGTGAAAATAATAATTCTACCAAGTTATTCCATAGAGATAGAAAGATAAAAATGAAACGTCAGACACCAAGTGAACAGAACAGGGATTAAAGGAAACAAAATCTTCTCTCCACACTCTAAGCCATCTACCATGAGTCCCACACCAACCTTTTCTTACTCAGCAGTTAGAAGTTTGCATTTACATTGATGATGGTGGAAAATCCATCCTATTGAATTATCCCGGGTTTGGGCACCAGAATGTTACTGTGAGGTCAGTGCCCTAGTTTGCCCTTCTTGCACAAGCAAAAGAACTGTACCAGGTGGAAGAGTCTAGAGGAAGGACGGCGGTGCCCAAGTACCAAGGTAGCACAGAATGAAGCAGTCTTGGGGCTTCCTGGGAGAGCAGACTTTAGTGCATGGAGCATTCAAGTGTAGGCCAAAGCTCTTTGTTCGAGCTTGGGGACAAGGGAGGAAAAAAATGAGGGGACAAAAGTAAAGATAAAAAGTAAATACATGTATTAGAAAGTTGCATCCCAAAGGCATGGACCTCCCTCATAGACTCAAGTTTTAGTCCATCAATAAGTCAGTCAACAAACAATTACATGTAAATAAAAGTCCCATTATATGTAAGACCCTGCAGGGATAATTCCATGGTAAATGAGACCAAACCCCGTCTCCCTTGTGTAGCTTGCTGGCTAAGCATAGAAATTTCTAGGGGGAAAAATGTTTTCTTGTAGGGCCTTGGGGAGTCAGGGATGTTCCTGGGATCATCTGTGTTCTTTGCCATCATTGATGCTGTGACCACAGCACGCAGGGAGAGAGACATTGCCGAGGACTTCACAGTGAGGAGCCCAGCAACGCCAGAATGGGTTCGAATGGCCTGTGCAGACCGCTTCACGGAGATGGTATGATAAAGTAGTTTAGTTTCCTAAAAGATAGATATTTTTTTTCTATTTCCCACTTCTTTGGCCTCTTAGGTTTATGGATAACCTAAACTGTGTCTGGTACCACCTGTGTTGATTGTAGATCCAAGTAAGATGAAATCCTTTCTTCATCATTTCTTCATCACAGTGTTGTTTCTTGACATTGAAATGCAAACGCTGAAGTGTTTAACCTTCTTCAGCAAGTACTTGAAGTCCTCACTTCCAGCAAGGAAGGTTGTGTCATCAGCATAACAAAAGTTACTGAAAGTCTTCCTCCAATCCTGATGCCATACTCTTCTTCATAGAGTCCACCTTCTCAAATAATTTGTTCAGTATACAGATTAAATAGGTATGGAGAAAGGATACAACACTGACACACACCTTTTCTAATTTTAAACCATGCAGTTCTGTTCATGCTTGTTCTGTTCACACAATAGCCTGCTCATTCAGGTATAGGTTTCACACAAGCCCAACTCAGTGTTCTGGGAATTCCCATTCTTCTCAATGTTAGCCATAATTTTTTATGATGCACACAGTCAAATGCCTTAGTCTAGTTAATAAGGCACAAATAGACATTCTTCTGGTATTCTTGGTTTTCACCGGGACCCAGCTGGCCTCAGCAATGATATTCCTGATGCCACAGCCTCTTCTAAATCCAATTTGATTATGCAAACCAATATAAATTAAAAATAGAGAGGAAAAAAATACATAAATCTTGCTTGAACTTCCAGCAGTTCCTTGTCTATATATTGTTCTAGGCATTCTTGGATGATCTTCAGCAGTATTTTGCTTACATGTGCTATTAATGATATTGTTCGGTAATTTCCACATTCTGTTGGATCATCTTTCTTGGAAATGGAAACAAGCATGGATTTCTAATAATCAGTTGGCTAGGCAGTTGTCCTCCAAATTTTCTGACATAGACTGGTGAGCATGTCCAGGGATGCCTTTTTGGTACTCTTTTTGGTGACTCTTGTTACCAGCAGTCAGGAGATCAAAAGATATATTGTATTGGGAAAGTCTGTAGTCAGGGACTTCTCCAAATTATTGAGGAGCAATGATGTCAGTTTATGGACTAAGATGCACCTGATTCAGGCCATGATCTTTTCAGCCACTTGTTATGCATCTGAGAGCTGGACAATGAATAAGGATGAAAGAAGAATTGACTGATGCCTTTGAACTGTAGCGTTGGAGAAGAGTGCTGAATATCCCATGGACTTCTAAAAGAACGAACAAATATGTCTTTGCGAAGGTGCAGCCAGAGTGCTCCTCGAAGGCAAAAATGAAGCTTTGTCCTACATATTTTAGGCATGTTGCTAGGAGAGGTTATTCCTTGGACAGGGGCATCATGCTTGGGAAGGTGGAGAGATGGTAAAGGACAGGAAACCCTCAACCAAGGTGGACTGTCACAGTGACTGCAGTGATGGGCTTGAGTTCTCAGAGATTGCGAGGATACACAGGACAGGACAGGGTTCAGATCTGTCCATGGGATTGCTATGAGTTGTACTTGGCTCGATGACATCTAACAACAACAACCTGTGTCTGGTGAATCACGTTGTTGTGTACCGTAGAGTCAGAGTCATCCAAAGCTGACCCACCGGCAGGTTTTCAGAGGCAGTTAGTCACATGGGAGGAGACTGTCCATCCTTCTCCCATGGAGCAGCTGTGGCCTCGAACCACATGCCTTTACAATTGCAGCACAGCTTCTTGCCACGAGGCCACCAGAGCTCCAGTCACATTATAAGATGATAAATCACACAAATATTTTGTGTCCATATAGCAAATTCAACTTTTTTCAGAACATTTCCCCATGTGCTGTTTCATTTAATCATCTCAGCAACCCTAAAATAAGACAATTTGTTCTATTCTTAAAGCTAATAGCTACCAGTGACATGGGAAACTTCTAGTGCCCAGCTGCTCGTGTAAAGGGCAGCAGTTCAAACTCACCACTCTGTGGGAGAAAGCTGTGGCAGTCTGCATCTGTACAGATTCACAGACCTGGAAATGCTCTGGGGCAGCTCTACTCCACCCTAGAAATCTGCTGTGAGTCACAACTGACTCAGTGGCGAGGGCTGAATGATAATGGTGGATTTCACTAAACCTTTACAAACAGTCCCTCTAGCCTACCCAAGTGCTGGGGCAAGAGGCTGCACTGCTATCCTGAAGGCACTTGTTTCAAGGCCACGAGCTGCTGCATGGGAGAAAGATAGGCAGTCTCCTCCCATGCAATCAACTGCCTCTGAAAACCCACCAAAGGGTAAGCTATGGATCGGTTACAACTGTACGCACACAAAAATCCTATCTAGGGATATCTGGTAGCCTAATGGTAAGAAGCTGTGCTGCTAACCCAAAGGCACATGGTTCTAATCCACCAGCTGCTCTGTGGGCAAAATGTGAGCAATCTCCTCCCATGTGATTTAATGCCTCTCAAAACCCACTAGAGGGTCAGCTATGGGCTGGTTCTGACTTGAAGATACATAACAATTATCATCCTACCCAGTAGGATGTCTACAGAAAACACCTATGGCAAGCATTGAAATTATACCCCTTTCAAAACACTTGACACCATCTTTTAAATAATTTTACCATAATATTAGTTCAAAAATATAAGTGAAGCTCAGTCTTTTACTTAAGACATTATTGTTGCACACCAAGGGTAAAGTAATTTTATAATTATTAATAATGAGACAGACAGCCAGGAATGAGATAGAGCAGAGAGCATAAAATGGGGCCAGCTGAAGACCCCAAGTCCTGTTTCTCTGTGTATTTATTGATAATCAGGGGAAGCAAATCATAAAAGGAATTCCTTGTAAATGAAGCCAAGCTCTTTGTATTGAAAACCTTCTGCTTGACTCAGGAGGGAGGGGTTAGCAAATGCAAGAATCTGGTAAACCCTTAAGGATTGCCTTGATGCCTCAGGGTGAACTCTAGCTCTGGAAGGAACACTCCCTCCGTAGGGGAGCCCTAGCTGTCTCCTGTCTGCAGGGGACAAACAGCTCATTTTCTGTGATCTGCCACAAGAGAAATACTAACTTATAGATTTGTAATTCTTTCAATTCCTGAACAAGGATTTTCATATATTTGGTATGAAGTTTGGCTTCCCATACATTATGGCACTATATGAAAACTATATATGTCATCTTTGCTTTCACTGATAAAAATCAGTCTGTGATGTGCCCAGTCTTCCCTACCCACGCAGCCCAGCCCCATCTTCCTCTCTTTCTACACTCAACAGCACAAGATCACACAGTCTGCCTTGGTTCATGGAGGCTCTCAAATACAGAAGCATTAGTTTTAATTTATTGATCACTCACAGCTGGTGATTAAAACTGGCAATTTATAACCCCCTTCTGCGGCACCAGGGCATATGTCAATACCTGCCATACTTTAGATAAGCCTCAGATCTTATCCAACTTGCCCTCTCATTGGAGAAAAACACGTACACTTATTAAAACAAAGAAAGTGTTGTGTGACTGTATTTGATCACGTCAATTTCCACATGTATCATCCTTCTGTAGAATACACAATCTAGAGATTAAGGTTCCCCTGATTCAGGCCACAGTCATCACAATTACATGCTATGCATCAGAGAGGTGAACAATGACTAAGGATGACAGAAGAAAAATCGATGCCTTTGAGTTGTGGTACTGGAGGAGTCTTGAACATACCATGGACTACCAAGGAAAAAATAAGTCTGTCTTGGAGAAAGTGAAACCAAGTTTCTCCTTGAAGGCTAGGATTTTGAAGCTCTGTCACACATACTTTGGGCACGTGGCCAAGAGGGACCAGTCTTTGAAGAAAGACATCATACTTGGAAGGGTGGAGGAACAGCACTAGGGAAGAGTAGCTCAGATGAGATGGATTGACATGGTAACTGGGGCAATGGGATTAGGTGTGTCAGAATGAGTGAGACTGGTTCAGGACAGGGCAGGCTTCAGAGCTTGTACATAGCATCACTAATAAGTCACAGGCAATTCAACGGCACATAACAACAATAACAGCATTACCAGCCACTGCTTTTTCCACCTCATTCCCTTTCTTGTCAATGCCTCCCAGCCTTACACAGAGGAGGCGTAAATGTACCTGCACTTGGCAACCTCCACTGCTGAGTATTAAGTACAAGCAAATTTTGTGAGGTCATCAAGTTGTCCTCATCTGCTAATTGCTTAAAAGCATCCAAGTAGAAATAATAATGATAGTTAACTATTGATTGAGCACTAATCGTATCTCGTTAATCAGTCCCATAACTCTACTGAGTAATTGCTCAACTTTTCCTTCTTTTACTAGTAAGGAAACAGATCTAGTAACTTGCCCAACATCACACAGCTAGCAAGTAGGGAACCAGAATTAGATAGAACCATCTGACTCTATTAGAGAATATGGCTTTCTTGAGTAAATGGCATTGATTATCCACTTCCTAAAAAAAAAAAATAATAAAAATAAAAGTTTTTTCAATTTCTGTCTTTAGAGACGCCCAAATATTTAGCTGAACTCACAATAGCCGGCCTTTGGATGAAGAACAACGCTCTCAAATGCAACTCAAATTTTTCACTGCTGAGCATGATCAAAATGACCCAGAAAGTGTCACCAGTATAGATTTGGGGGTAGCAAATTTTAGCAAGCAGGTGAGTTCACAAGCACAGGAGCTGTGAATAATGAAGATCAAGTGCACTTGCATTTCAGGGGGCAATGAATACTACGAAGCAAAGTAAAAGAAAAGCAGAGGCTGGGATGTGAGAAAGGGACTGTTGTTTCAGATAGTCAAGTAGCAAGTAGCATGGTTTCCTCTGGGTGCTCACATTGAGGCCTGAATTCAGTGAAGGAGTGAGCGTGAAGATGGTAAGAGTGTGTTCCAGGCAGAGAACTGCTGGGCTCTTTCAGATGATTCAAAGCTGCTGGGCTCTTTCAGATGATTCAAAGCAGCTCTCACCTTGCCTCTCCAGCAGGGAAAGTTTGGAACAGAATGGTGCAACTGTCCTTCTCTCAGG